AACAAACACACGCTGCTCGCACACAGTCAAGCCGAATAGAATGGAATAAAAAAAGAAGAAAATCTCTCTCTCACCCCCGTTCATTTATTCAGCCTGTCTGAATTCTGATGCATCGATTTAGAGAGAGAGGAGCCATCAGTTACCGTATCGATTGGCGTGACAAAAGCGCGCGTGGCCTGCAGTACCACTGCTGTGGGAGCTCTTCTCGCGCGCCCCATCGATCGCTTATATACTGTTGCGCTGCTCTGACGCTTTTTGTTTCCCAAAGTAGCCTTCGGATTTTTTCCAGAACTTTTAAGCCCTTGAGAAATCTTTTTTACGGCCAGTTTTTATTGAGAAAAAGTGATATTCGTTCCTCAAGAATTTTGAATTTGCCCAATATTTACTTTGAGAGACAAGATTTTCCATTGTTTGAACAGATTGACATTAGCACGCTTGATATATTTTATAAATAAATTTAAATTAATTTAAAAATCAATGTAAAATTATAACAAATTTAAATTTAAAAAAAAAATCCTTCAGAACTATTTTGTTACTTAATCTTTCGAATTATCGTTTTTTTTTAATTAGGTTTTTTTTGTAATTATGTCACTTCTGCAATTTAAATGCACTATATAATCCTTTCGTTCGTTTTTTCAATTGAAACTGGAGAGTGAGTTTGTCGGTTTCTATCTATGCAAATCGATAAATCACGCGAGTGGAAAATCGCCCCCGCTCTCGTGCCACGAGGGTAATTAATAAAATTTCAACCAGCAGCTTAATGCGCTTTGGGAGAGAGGCAAACTTTCTTTCTACACAGCAGGGCAGAGCAAATTGGCGTTGCTGCTCTTTTTTAATTTAAAATGCTCGGCCGCGTTTCGGCAGCTACGGCGTATATAAGAATGCCAGTGAATTAAGGCCCCGTGCCTGCGTCGGCCATAAAATGTGCCTCTCGGACAATCAGAAGGACTAAAATGAGAGGCCGGCAGCGGAAGCAGAGCGCACAGGCAGTTTAATTAGACCCTTCAACCCTCTCTCTCCAGCCTAATCTAGATTACTGCTCCCGTCGCATATTCCCTCTCTCTGCGTTAAAGAAGAAAAGCAGCCGCTGCAGCCAGCAGTGTAACTTCTGTTGTCTACATGTGATTAAACAAGTTCGCTCACTCGGGGCGAATTCGTAAATTAAACCTTTTATTGCTTTATAAAAACAAAAGGAGAACCTCCACCCTTGTTTGCGGAGAGAGAAGAACCAGCAAAAGGAAACATTAAAAAGTTTTATATATTTTCAGCCTAGGTTCTAATGGTTTCAGATAAAATTTTTGAATCGATAATAATCAAATTTTTGTTTAAAATAATAAAGTTTTTGAATGCATTATTAAAAAACAGTTTTTACTTTGTAGCTAACACAAATAACTGTGAAATTATTTTATTAATAATGTAATTATAAATTATTAAGTAAAAACCTTGAATTAAAGGACTTTATAATTCTGAAAATCACATTGTATTTTAAATTGTCCATTAATCAAAGCAATCAAATTGTCAAGCCCATTATCGAGGTTGGCCCGCGAAATCGCATTAACGCGCCGTAGCAACAATGTAAATGCAACAGTCGGACGGCAGCAATAAAAAGAGCGGCTGGCGCGGTGGCTCCATTCACCCCAGCAAGCAGTTTCTCTCTCTCTCGCTCCGTATTCAGCCATCTTGGTTCCCAGCAGCTCACCATTATGCCTCGGCGTGCTGCTGGATTTTTGGCACAGTTCCAACTTCAATACCGTCAGCGAGCTACTGCCTCGCGCCGCCGCTGCACGCCTGCCTATACACTCAACCCTTTGCTGCATGCGATGTAATTGATCCATGCATTGATCGGCAATTTCCAATCAGACCCGAATTCGTGTCAAGACCAAGCGAATAATTCAATAAAAACCTGATTTTTTCCAAACAATTTTCATCATGCGCAAAATTAATTATTTGCGGACGCATTTGCGGATAACAAAGCGGCGTTTTCAATTTAATTTAAAATTAAAATATTGTCATAATCCCGCGGGTGGCGGCCCGTGCGACCAATTATCTGCGCACACGCCGTATGAATTACACAGCCCGACAATAAACTGACATGTCATGCATGTAAAATGCAAATCCTTTGATCATCAACTATATTTAAATGTGCACAATACCGTGATGGATACACGTAAATAGTGGCCGCCAAATTACACACGGGCCGCATTAAACCACACTGTTGACTGCCTTCGAATATAATAATTGCCGTTCTGCTCAGAGAGAGAACATACATTATTATAGGAATTCATCGGCGGACACACACAAAGGGGCATTATTTGTATCTGCTTTCGCAGTGGGTGGAATAACAATTTACGTGAGAATAATAGTGGCAGAAATAATAGAATCTCTTCTTGCTTTGAGACGAGAGAGAGTTTCTTCCAGGGGAGAATAATTGTGCGGGCATATCTATCTTCTTATTCCAAGTCAGTGCACACCGCTCTCCCTTGCCTGCTCAAACAAGCCCCCATATTTTCCTTGAGAAACATACAAATGAGTATTTGCTCAGCAAATTCAGCAGTTTGTTCAAGAGAAAAATCCAACCCTCCTGTTCTTGGGGAGATTTTTTTTAAGCGAGTTTGCATTTTTAATTTGAATAAATGATAGAGGAATAATTGCGTCAGAATTCATTAATGCTGCGAGCAAAAAGTTGGCGAGCGCGCGAGCAGGAAACAAATTAAAATTTTAACGACACCTGAGGGGCCCAGGCACCGCGAAGTTTTAATTCAACGGCGCGCTGTCCCTTTTTGTGCCTTGTTTCTAGTATGATGGATTGCCCGTCACTGCAGTGTCAACACATGCCAAGGGGGTGGGTTTTCGCTCGCTGCTGGGGCGAGAGATTCGCACGCGTTATTCCATCAAAGTGTGTTTCTCGACGGCTGCTACAAAGTATAATATTAGTGCTCGGCGGGAATTTCGGCTGCTGCTGAAATTAAAGCACGCCTTTGAAAATACGTACCCTGTCATGTTTCTCCTTTGGCACCGCCGACACACTCCATCATTTTAACACAAGGGCTAATTAATTAATCGTTAATTAAATTTCAACAAATTAATATAAAAATAAAAAAATGAAATAACAAATCAACATTTAAATTTTAATAATTTTTTCACTTTTTACATTTCTAATTAATTTTATTTTATATCATATAAATATTATAATAATAGTTTGTCAAAATTGCTATTATTTAATGTTGAACAAAATTTCATATGCAATATTTAATCCAAAATTTTTTTTTTAAATAAAAATTTTTTTCAATAATAAATTTTTTAATCTTTAAAAGTAATAAATTATCTTCAATGCATGCTACTTTTTTTCTTCATGTTCATGATGTCATTAAATATTTTCTATGATATAAAAATTCAGAAATATTTACCTGGTTGTGAATTTGAATATGATTTTTAATTTATACGCATTAAATTAATCCTGAATGAGCTGATTGCTAAGTTTGGCCGCGATGTAAAATCATCTCTGTGCCACATCGCGCGCGCGCTCCCCCTTCGCTTTATTCTTTTTAAATGATTATTCCAACACATATTCGAGACGACAAACACGGCAGACGAGGGGTGCATGCCGTGCAGCCAGCGTACGTTTTTATTCCACCTGGCGGAATTTACTATACGCGGCGCGTGCAGTCGTCTGCAACCAGTAGTGCCGCTCCTCCCTCTCGCGCAGCATTATTTTCCCGCGAACAAAAGAGCTGCAACAATGAGCACCTGGAGTTTATACCGATGCATATATGCAGGGGGGACAGCAAAAGGGATCAAGACACCAGGGCATATCTGTGCAGATTCGCCAGCCGCAGATGTTAATCATCTGCCTAGGTGTAAAAATAAATGCGCTCATACGAAAAATAATAACAATAACAGCACAAACGAGCGACCAGTTGTCGTCTTATTTGTGCAGAAATATATAACACACACAAAAGCTTCGCGATAGTGATCGCCGCCGACAACAACTACAACTCTGCTGGCGTGCGATAAATCCGTCTGTGAATATTTGATGAGGTTTATTTTTCATTAAGCCGCTCAATTATTTACAAGAGTGCCTTTTATAGTGCGCCGCCTGAGCAATAAATCATGTTCGCTTATTAAAATTTCAAAAACAACTCCCGTGTGCGTCAATAATACGCAGCGAGAGAGCAAATATGTAAGGAAAGGAAAGGGGTCGAGGAGGAAATTAATGTGTTGAGTGAGAGAGAAGAAAAGTAATGGAAAGGAGGGGGTCATGCGATCCGTGATCCGTAACGAGGATTTTGCGAGTGTTCAACAAGCTACACATTAATATTGTATGATGCATAGGAGGCTTTATTGTTTCCATCTCGCTCTCACTCGGCTCGCTCGTTCGCTCGCAGCTTGCATGACCTCACGGCGGCGGAGCAAAAAGTACCGCTATAATATGGAATATTAGAGCAGACCCGTGTTTGCCCCGGCCTCCAGCTGTTGTACAGAACCTCCACCGGGGAGATGCTATTCTGCACACTTGTGCAGAATCTATTCGGAAAATAATAAAAGGCATTCCGTCCTATAAATAACAATAAAATCGATTCGTATGCCAGGCAATCAGAGGCTGAATTTTTAAACAGGCAGCTGCGCGAACGGTATTATGCATTAAATTTGCAGGCCGGCGAGCATGAATAAAACATCCAATTTGCAGTATACACCAAATTTCGCAACCTGCAATTTTTTATAATTTTTTTATATGTAGTTTATTTATATTTTTAAATTTTATTTTGGTAGACAATTTTTATTGAATTTAAATGATTTGATTTTTTAGGTATCGGCCAAAATAAATTTTTATTTTTTTTTTAAGCTGCTGTTGCTGGATTGTACTTTTTTTTTAATAATTAATGCATTAAATATTATACAAAAAAAGTAATAAATGTATTCATAAAATGATGATTTTTTTTTAAATTATAGTTTTGATTATTTATAAATTTTTTTAACCTTGTTCCTTTTTTATGTTGCAGGCTACGTCCAGGAGCTCTCACACGGTCTGAGCTTTCCCTATCTGTCGCACCGCGGCCCTCCTCCTCCGTCACACCATCACCACCACCACCACCATCATGTTCCACCTGGGGTTTTGCTACATCGAGGGGACGAAGGCTACCAGTTCCCGCCAGAGGCCTACCACCACTACCCTCCAACCTACCTAGCAGACCCGCACCGCTACGAGGAGCGATGGGCTGAACACCACCAGCCCAACCCACCCCCACTTGCTCCTGCTCCCCTCCCTCCCCGCAAGTCCTTGGCCATGTGTTACACCAGCACAGGGGCAGCACTTTCACTGCCACCGAAGAAGAAGGACATTTACCGGCCGTACTCGCTGCAAGACCCAGTCAAGCCTAGTCACAAAGATCTCAGCGCAGCACACGCCATCTTGGATCTCAGTGCGTCTAGTCAACCCGACCTTTCGTCCGGCAACGCATCGAGTTGCGACGAACGACCACCTTCGACGGTGCCACCCTCTCCGACGCCATCTTGCAAAACGGTGGCGTACACCTATGAGGCCTTTTTCGTGAGCGATGGGCGCTCGAAGCGCAAAGCCACCTCTCTTGGCTCGGTCTCACCGATCCGAGGGGAGAGCTCTGAGAAGCCCAAGTACACGTGTCCAGAGTGCGGCAAGCAGTACGCAACGTCGTCCAACCTGTCCAGACACAAACAGACGCACCGGAGTCTGGACTCGCAGTCGGCCAAGAAGTGTCCCACCTGCAACAAGGCGTACGTCAGCATGCCCGCCCTGGCCATGCATGTGCTCACCCACAACCTCAGTCACAAGTGCAACGTGTGTGGCAAGGCCTTCTCGCGACCCTGGCTACTCCAAGGTCACCTCAGGTCACACACTGGTGAGAAGCCCTACGGTTGCGCCCACTGTGGAAAGGCCTTCGCAGACCGGTCCAACCTCAGGGCCCACATGCAGACGCACTCGGCGGCCAAGAACTTTCGCTGCAAGCGATGTGATAAGTCGTTCGCCCTCAAGTCCTACCTGAACAAGCACTACGAGTCGGCCTGCTTCAAGGACAGTCCATCGGGCGTCTTGACGCCACCCAGTTCGCCAGGCGACGCCATTGTCTGCTGCTCACAGTCGAACAGCTCGGACCTGCACCTGCTGCAGTCACCGCAGTATCCCCCTCCACTTCCCCTCCACCCTGGAGTCTACGCTGCTTGAATTTCGCACGCTTTGCATCTCTCATCTCAACTCAGTCTTCTACTTTGATGGACTCTTCTCTACTTTCCGTTTTTCCGCCAATTATGTTCCGCGTCTGCCATATTGCATTGTAGTACGCTTTATATGAGTAACACGGTTCAATACGATTCTTTTGAACTTTAGGTGTGTTTATTTTGCTGAAACATCGTTCAAAAAGGTACACTCTCAAACAAAAATATGAAAACAGTCAAAAACGCATATTTACAAAACGCGCATCACGCTTTTTATAAGATAATATACATAAAAAAGAGAAGACGTTTTTAATGAATTATGAAACGCAAGTGCCCTAAAAGTAAAAAATTGAAATGATTTTCTCACCAAAGTAAAAATGAAAATTTTTGATAAAACAATATTGTCGAATTGCATGTTATTTTTACAGACGGTCACTTAAGCATTGTTAAAAAGTGAAAAACAAGTTTTGTGAAAACAGGGTTCATTGTTCAAGGACGGATGATGAAAAAAATCCAAGAGAAAAAAAACAGTTTTGACTTCAAAAGTACGATTTTGGAGGCCATTAAGCGAATGGTGACATAAAAAAATGCACATTGCCTTTTTAGATAAATTTTTTTGATAAAGAGTATTTTTCACACAACGACCATATTAAATGGATGTCACACCCATAAATCATCCCCTTAAAAACAAAAGATAATAAAGAAAAAAGTAGCGTTATTCAGTTTTGATACTCGGAACGAAATTTATTGCGAATAAAATAAACGATCGCGCGCGGCGGCGTTTGAGAAAAAAAATTAACGAGCGGCGTTATAATTAAAATTTCATGCTCAGCTTCGGGGAGAAATAACAGCAACATCGCGCAATAAACTTCGCCGCCGGGTATACACATTTAGGTGTAATTAGTTCCAAAACCATTATGAACGTAGTCGAACACAAAAAGCAACGATTTGCTGTGAAAATTAATGCGGACAGTGGAAAAACAAAAATAATATTTACTTTTGTGGTTTGCGTGGCGACTTAAATAGAAGCCAACCAGTTGATTTTAAGCATTCAACAAATGTTCACTTTTGCGAAAAAGGAACAAAAGTTTCAGTCACAACGAAATAAAGATTGCCGTAGTCACGCTCGTCAGACTGCATCGATGCGTCTCGGGCACTTAGTGCTTAGCGGATTTAAGGAAATTAAATTAACTCACACACACACGCGTATATATTTAACTCACACACACACGTACACTCACTATAAAATATAGGATTGTAGCTCACAAATATATTACGAACACTCACACATATACACCAGCTCAATTATTTTACATATTATGACAACAGCATGCCATCAAACGCTGCTGTCGTATTGTATGCATTTTCAATTATCCGCCGACAAACGCGCAACAGAAATCTAATATGCAAATCGATTAATTGAGTTAGCTCAGCTGGCTAATTTATGCAACGAGAGGAGAGCGCAGAGTGAAATCGATTTTGCGCGCGGGGCTGCTCTCGGCCGCGCTTCTGGTGAGTAATATGCAAAATAAGTTGACGCTGCCATAATGAAATTCACGACGAAAAAAAACATAATGATATATTTGAGAAAAAGAAAGTTATTTGAAAAATAAAACGATGCATTTATTGAAATTGTAAACAACAAAATAAATTTAATAAGTCTGAGCATGCATAATTTTTTAGAAAAACCACAACGAAAAACGCAATAAAAAATTTACATAGCAACGAATATAGAGCGTGCGCGTTATTTGAATTTTGAAAATGACATTTTGAAAGAAGAAAAAATATTAAAATAGAAATCCAAGAGAGCACTTTTCAATACTTAGTAATGGCTTATTGAACTAGTCTCTAAATAAATTACTCATGTACCCTTGTATGGTGAACGAAATATTAAAAATGATCTCCAACTTCGAATGCATTCCAAAGTCATATATTTAAAAATGATAAGCATTTAATTAAGACACGAGTTTAGCGTTCTAGTAGCAGTAACTAGTCGAGATTTGAGCATTGAAAAGACAAACGCGTCTCTGTAAATACTTGTAAACCCCTTTACTTAGCACTTAAGAAAAATTGTTTAACTATTTCTTAAAGAAAGTACTTTAATTTTGACGGTGCTTTTCTGCGCCAAAAAGATACGCGGCAAGAAATACTTAACCAAAACTGTAAATATAGCACAGCTGAATTTTTGGTCCTTTCCCCACCCAAACCGAATTCTATATATTATATTTATATTGGCGAAACTCGATGCCAGAGAGTCATTAGCGAATCCATATGTATGTGAGTATAATTGTTACCCGAGCCTGACATAAAAATTTTCCGGCACGAGAGAGGGCTTTTGCCTGCAAATTAAAACACCCTGCAATCCTTTTAACGAAATTTCCCACAATGGACCGCTGTGGAAATATTGTGAAAGTCGGTTTTTGCGGCCGGTTTGTTTGGCGTATAATGCATAAGTCACTTGATAGCTCTTTCTCTGTGCGACGACTACGGGGAACGGCGGCGGCGGCGGTCCTGAACAAACATTTTCGCTGCCGGAATGTATGTATAAGAACGGGGCGCTTGTGCAAGCCGACCATATACACAAACTGAGTGACCCCTTGTTGTACTCTCTTGACTGGGGTATAGAATGGCCTCCCTCGGCTTTATGTCAATCTTGAGTACACAGAAGGCACGGTAAATAATTTATACATGCCTCCAGAGTTCATCAAGATTTCTCTTTTAACTCGATATTCTGAGTACTATTCTCGCTTTCCCTTTCTTCTCTCTCTCGCTCGGCGATGCGCGCCTGTTGATTTTTCCCTTCGCCTTCCTCTCATGAAAAATCCAACGTTTTCTCGAGTAATTTGCTCGATTTCTTCTTCTGCCTGTTTCGTGCGAGCGCGCGCACGATTCTCTCTTTCTCCATTTCCTCATTCGGCTATCACGTTTCTGACTTTCCTATCTGCTCTTCTTTCTTCTCTCTCCTATCGTCTTTCCTATCTACTTTCTATCCCCTGGCTCACAAGAAAAAGCGAGTAAAAGCATTGCATGCAAATAATTTACCCGCAAAATAAATGTGCACACGCCCCTACCTCTTCTTTCTCAATCTTCTTTTCCGATTTCCACTTTTAGGTGAACTCTGTTGCAGGTTTAAAAATGTATGATTCTCTCTATTTGACTCTCTGCTTCGTTTTTTTCGCAAATATATTTAAAATGGAAGAGTGAAAATCTAGTCACAAGATAAATAACTCAAGTTTAGCGATTTCTGCTATTAACTTGCAATTATAATTATTATTCAACTTAAGATTTAAGATTGGCTAGATGATACATGGAACAAATGGAGATTTTTGAGAAAATGTTTCGCTTTTCCCTTTTGCAGAAAAATTGTTTTCGGTTTGTCCGTGTAATTCGAATTTACGAGGAAGACTAAAGACTAGTTACTTCTTTTTTATTATTTGATCTCGCGTATGTATTCCTATTTTTATGGCCGCGTCGTTGGTATAAGAGCCAAAACCAATTTTCTAAAACTTTGCCGAATTATTTTATCTGCGCCTTTTGGCACATGTTTGAGCGAGTTAATCTCGAGAGCAGACTCAAGTGGTTTTAGTTAGTGTAAGTAGCTATTTGTTTTTGTACTTTTATGATTATTTGGATGGAGAGAGAGAGAGAGATGCTCTCTGTCATTTCAGGTCATGACTCTTGTTATTCTCCAAGCTTCTCTTGCATTTATTCAATTGTATAATACATATACTCTCGCGCAGAAAACAAAGAGAAAAGTGGAGGCGAACATTCCGTTTTATGATAACCAATTTAGTTTATTATCTAGTCTGAAGCCATAAAAACTCGTTCCAGCTCTACGACAACTAGTCTCGTTTTATACACATACCTTCCGATTCACTCACCTTTATGGAGAGAGCAATAATCAAGAAAATTTCGCAACGAATTTTACTCCCACAAATAAACAACGATTTTTGCATTCACTGCTTTATTTAACTGATTGTTTTTTTTTTCAGTCCGAACGAAAGAAAGAATCGAACGCAGCTTGAATGCACTTAAATAATAAGCTAAGCAATAATTTTAAGAGGAATTATATTATGATTATATAAATTATTGTTGAAGCAATTTTAACTGGCCGGAAATCTGGGCAACATGATCGGATGAGCTCGGAACTCGCCAAGTTAGAAAAACCAGAGAGAATATTAGATTACATGCAATTATTTGAAAGTCAATTGTGAATAATTAAGAAGTTTTAGGACGCAGGGCGATTTCCAGTTCGCGGCATGACCCAGAAAGTGCCAGGTATTCACAAGCAATAATCTCGTAGTCTGGTCATAAGCAATAAGGAGTCAGGCGCGTGATCGCAATACAATTTTGACACGGCCGGCTCTCTTTGAGCAATAATTATGACCGCTATGAAGAAAACACTTAACGATTAAGGACAAACAAGTTATAATTCAAAATATTAACACTAAAATTAAGGAAAAAATATCAACGAGTAGGTAAATATAGACACCTGACTTAGACTGCCCATATTAACTTAAAAAAGTTGTTGACAAAAGAAAATTCTCAATTACGCATTAAAAAAATTACTGTACTGTTTATTGAAAATCATTATTACACAGTTTGTAACAATTTTGGTATTGTATTGAAAATTTATGTGCATAAATTTTTGTTCACAACGAAATCGTAGGATTGCTCAAAATGTTTGCATGCAGCAATATTTTCAAAATAAAACTCTCACTGTACTCACACAACGCAATTATTTTCAATTATATATATCCACAAATAAATGCCACATCCCGACGTGGTTCTGAAGTTACATGATTAGTCCGAGTAGTCGTCCAGTGATTCCGATCTATCGCATTGTAGGCCGTTTAATTAATAAATTGTTCTCTCGATCTCTACTAATGTACTTAAACTGTAACTCCCTTTCCCTGTTAGTTCCGCCGTCCACAGTTGAGAAATTAGCCACACAGAAGTCACCCAGACCCCAATTTTAAATTGAAGATGTCTGTTGTAAATAATGCGACCCGCCCACACCTTGTCGGTCGCATGTTTCGAAAGCTGCTGATTAGTCACGGCGGCGTAGCTGCAAGAAAATTGTGAACACGCGCATCTTGTTTAAACGCGGGGCAACTAATGTACTCTGGTAATAGCAAATTTTGTATTTATATTTTCATAATAAATAGTGTAGAAAACATTACAAAAAATATGTTATCAACGTGTTTGATTTCTGAGAAACATACCTTGCTGCGTTTCAATCTGATAAATTCACATAAATGCTGTTTTACTCCAGGCAACAGCTGATCTAGAGCTAAGATTAATAAATAAAAACAGGGTAAACAATAATCTGACTTTCCGGTGCAATTTTGCTATCAACGCGAGGCTATCAATTAAAAAAATTAAGACTTGAATTGCCCAGCGCTAACACGAATTCATAAAATCAATAATTAATTGTATGCTGTTCATAAGCTTTCATATAAAAAATTTTATTTTAAGTTAAAGAAAGCAACTACAGATTAAAAATATTTTGCTTTCAAACTATATAATATATATAATATATGGGCAGCAATTGCCTTTGTGATAGATCAATAAACACAATTTGCAACTATATAAGAAAAAAAATATACAGAAAGTAAATTTACAAAATAACAATTGTTGACATTTTTTAAATATAAAATTTATCCAATTTAGAATTTTTAATTAAAATAATTACTTTTATCCTGTTTTGATTTATTTATTTTGTCAATAATTTTATTTATTTATTTTATAATTATTCGACTTATTGCTTTAAGTTTTTTGCATTATATTCACAAACAGTATTTTTTTATTTTTCATATAAAAATATATATAATTCACACAAACAATCTTTTCATCAAATGTAATAGCAATGCTGGCTAATACTCTCTCCCTTTTGTTGTTGTCTTCTTTAGATAAAATTTAAAATTAAGCCATTAATTATTATTATTATTTATTAGTCCTCCTTCAATTTATAGAGAAATAAAAGATAAGACAACTGTAATAAAAATAAAAAGTATTGTTTAAATGAATCGAATGAAAAATAATAAATTTAAGTAACAGTACGAATTGATCTTCATAAGTATGCAGCCCGCAGGTCCGCCGTGTTTGCCAGGTTTGCATAAGCAGGCAGCGTCTTTGAAATCGACTACTTGGCGCCAGCTCGAGTCGTCGGAAGTGAGCTGAGGTCGGCGGCTCACGCGGGATTCGCAGTCGAGCGCGAGATAATCCGGCGCAGCAAAACTCGTCTAACTCCCTTGATACGGAGTGTGCGTATACATATATATTTTATATCTTGACACCGCGGCGCCGATTCTCAGCCCCTCTCGACTTCTCTTGCTCTTTAAAATCCACATAGGTGGGTGGGCGGCGGCGGCGGCGGTTCGAATCACGTCGTTGATTTATACCTTTGGAAATAAAACATACACGAGCGGCGGGCGAGGGAGAGAGAACTCGGCACGCAAAAGCCATTTCTTGCATTCGAGTTTTCACGCAGTGACAGACACACAATCAATTGCTTTCGTGTGTGTACCGAGTTTATTATTATTACATGCAAGGTATGGCCTATGCCTGCTTTCGGACGCGAACATAAACGAATTTTATTATCGCCGAAGAAGATTCGTGGCAATAAAAATGAAAATTCAAATAAGTTTTATTGCAATTAAACATGAACACACACCTTGTGGGAATAGAATGTGCGCTTTCGTGTGAGCTCGAAATTGAAGTAATTTTTATTTCCTTGTTTTGTCCATTTATACTGCTAATCTCGTTTGTTTAATTTTTTCACCTGCTGAAAATGAAATTTTTGTACGCAATTAGCTGCGTGTTACCATGTGGGCGAGGGCGATTCGAAGGCAGTTTGCTGATTTCGCTGTCAAATGCAAAATTAATTACTCTCGTGTCCAGACCGTGGGCGTTGAAATGCGGCTCAGGTGCAGGAGTTGAACGCACACAAGTTATAATTACTCGTATATACAAATGAGCATTCAGTCCTTGCTCTGGCTTGACGTCCGGCAGCCTCTTTCTCTCTCGTATTCATTGATGGTTTAAATATTAAATTACAGCGCACGCAGTCATTAGTGAGAGACGCGCGGTGAAAGGGTTGGTCGCCTCTTTCAATGCATGGTCGGTGGGCCCCAAGGACTCGCTAATGGGTGCGTACGTATATACGTCTCATTACGCCTTTTGACATCGAAATCCACTCTTTTTAAACAAAAATACATACAGCTGTTTTTATTTTAGTGAAGGTTTTGGCATGCAAAAGTGCAGCAGCCGAGGAGAGAATACCATAAATAAAATATTAATCAAATAATCATTAATTTTTTTCATGTGTTTTCCCTTTTTCTAGTGCTTAAAATGACGAATGTTTTTATTTATTTTGGAAAATAATAAAGATCAAAATTTGAACTTGTAATAATAAGATCATTGATCAATGATGATTTTATTTCATACGTTTAAAATATCTAGTTTACATGAAAACTTGATTAAAACCCACTTAGCAAGACAATTTTATGTTATCAAAGACTGGATTATGTTTTTTTTTTATAATAAAACTTAAAAATATCTTGAAAATAAAAAATCTCAGTCCAGAAATTTTTACTTTCAGTACTTTTTAGATCTTTGAAGTAAACAATCTCTTTATTACTGAAATTTGGAATTTATAAAATGTAAAATAGTTTTGAACTTAATTTTTTTTTACATTTTCTAGATATTCCTTAAGGAATAGTCAAATAAAGTCTTTACAACAAGGGTTTAAAATTCAATTTTTTTCGCAATAATGGCCAAAATTGGCTCATATTGTTTGAACGACCTGATTCGTCTATGTCAATTAAATTGCCATTAATAAACCGCGAATAATGAAAAAATAATTGAATATTTTCTTAAAATAATTTATGATTTGAAAATAATTTTGCTGCATTTTAACGCAGTGTAGAGATGAAATTTAATTTTAAAAATCTTAAGTACCACGTGAAGCAAGATTCAACGCAAATAATAGTGCTTGACGTAAATGTCGAAATCAGCGAGACCGCGTAATTATCCTCGTCATTATAATCGCAATTACAGCACGCGGCCGGGATTGCGGAGTTATTATTCCGGGTATAATCTCGGGAGTGCATAATTAGAGCGTTGTGACGAAACACGCAGGTTATTACGCGTGTGCGTACATTTTTCAAGCAGTCGGTTGCGTATCAAATGAGCGCGGCTGTCACAATGGCCGGGGCAGCAGCAAGCCAGAGCCTATTTAGCAACTGTTGAAAAAGCGAGAGATGATGAGTGGGTGCGAGAGGGTCAGATGACGAGAGCGCGCGCTATGACATCTGTCACGGCCGGCTGCCAGTCCGTCTCCTCTCGTATGTGGTATATTTCTAAATACGGCCGGCTCGCTCGCAAATGAGATGTTTGTGTCACCTCCAGCCCTTCTGATTTTTTCCGCCTCTAATGGGCCGGCCGCCGCCGCCGCGCCAAATTGGCCGCTTACTCCAGAGGCCGTCACATGCGTCTGTCTGGCCATTTGTCACGCACCTTCAAGCTCGACTGTGCGGCAACAGCAGCAATGACCAATTTTCTCGGAAATGGGCCCGCGGTCTGGGGAATTCGAGACGCTACATTAGCATTGGATTGGGAAACGTCCCCCAATTTGTTTCCTTGCGTTGGTCTTAGTTTATTTATCTCCATATTATTTTAGGGTTGAAATGAAAAAAGGAAAATTCTTGTGCAAATACAAATCCTTTATTAAAATAAATTCATGGATAAGTGACAAGTTTTAAAATTTTAAATCAAAATTTGTTCAAAAGAGAACAAATACATAAACATGAAAAAATAATGAATATTTATTTATTTTGGTTATATCCACTTCTTATATGAACTTAAATTAATAATCTCAACAGTCAGATTTATAGAATAAATATTTATAATATGTACCTTAATTTTTCTTTCGCTTTCTCTATGAAAAGATTATATCTGTGCATAGAACACTATAAAAAGAAAATTTTCAAAAAATATAAACTATTTTATGCAATTTAAGACACTTTGATTATCTTTACTGCTTTTGTTCTTTGTTCTCATTGAATTTAATTGAATTCAATTGCAAAAACATTAATTGTTTATCACACGGCAAACTTTGATGTTAACGAATCAATTAAGATAATCTAGAAAAATGTGAGATAAACAAATATTTTCCAGAAAAGCAGGAAATTTAAGTACACAGCCTTTTTTTATTGTTTGTGAAATTTCATTTTACAACTGACAACAGATAAAAATATATACTTCTTTTTTGTTTACTCAATGGACAGAGCAATGTAATTTAGAATTTCTTTAATACTTAGATCAAAAGTAAATCGACTGGAAAGGTACAATAACAGGAATAAACATCCTTGCAAACATCCTTTTTTGAACCAATGAAAGGTTTTAGAGTCATCGATTCTAGAAATGCGACTGTTTCAGAGAGTGGAGAGTGGGTGCAGGTGGGCATTGTTATTTCCGTCGCTTTGTTATTCTGGTGCGTGGCCGAATCGGAAATCCGCGCGTCGCTTCATTAACGACCCGTTCCAGCAGCAGCCGGCGGTCCAGAGGGAAACTTTTAATCAGAGCGTGCGATATAATTCTGATAATTGCGCGACTGTTTGTGCGTTTCGTGCATTCGCACGTCGGGTAAGCTGCATAAATATGCTGTGTTAGTTAGGGATTTAA